AGTCCCGCTCATTCTACTTTTACCTATCAATGTGTAACCTTTTCTGGGGCAAGGGCTGCTGCTCACTGCTTCCTTTTCTTTTTCATCTTTCCTGTCTTTCAGTCTCTGTTCTGCTTCATGGGTTGTTGATTGAGTCCCTACCTTTTTTTGAGTGTTTTCCTCAGATGGTGTACCTGGTGGCTATTCTCTCTGAATCTTTGCTTTCTGAAAATAGCTTTCTCGCCCTCTGACAGATGAGTGATGCGCTGCCTCAGCTCAGTATTGGAACCGTGCACAGTGGCCATAGATGGATTCCATGGGTGCTCCTCCATGATTTCTAGCTTTGAATGCTGCAAATGAGAGTTTTGATGCCAGTTTGATTCTTTTTTCCTTTTCTTTTGGCAATAATTTTTTTCTGTCTGAATACCTGTAAACATTTCCCCTTTATCCCTGGAAATCAGGAATTGTAATAGTACATGTCTAGGTTGTTTAGGAATGTGGCTTTTCTTTCTCTGCCTAGAACTCAGTGGGCCCTTCCAATCTACAGACATCTTATTTCAACTCAGGGAAAATCTCTTTTTGCTTAGTCATCACCTAGCCACTCTCTCTCTCTCTCTCTTTTTCCCCTGCTTCTTCAACTCTTATTATAGCTAGAGCTAGGCTTCCTAAGTTTGAATCTTAAGCATGTGACTTAACTTCTTTGTGCCTTAGTTTCCTCATCTCTAAACTGGAGATAATAATAGCACCTACCTCACTGGGCTGTTGAAATCAAATGGGTTAAATCTAGAATAGTACCTAGCCCATAGTAAAAACAATTTAATTTACTTCATCCTTCAGATCATCCATTCAGGTTTCAACATTGACCATCTTCTCAAATTCATCTGACAACTTTTAAAGTAAAACATTTTATTTTTAGCTTTAGAAAGTTTATTTTGTGATAGATCTCTATAAATGATCTTTTTTTTTTTTTTTTAATCATTCAATTTGTCAATCAGTTTGATTTCACCCCCTGTTCTGGGAGTGCTATTTGATATTCCTCCCTCCCTCTGCTGGGTCTTTAGTGGACTCTCTTACTTTGTCTGTTTATTGGCTCCAGCTGTTGGCTTAAGTTCACCAATGGGGAAGCTGCAAATAGTGTTAAGAATAGCTAATTCAGCCTCTCTGGGCTGGTTCTGTACCAGCCAAAGTTTAATTCTCTGTTGATGAACCAAGAGA